CAGAAATCCCATACATCCCTGCTGCAGAAATCTCCTAGCCCTCACAGCCGAGTAGAGGGTTGGCCCTTGCGAGGCCCTCTCACCATGTATAACCAGTTCTCCCCCACTTGGGGTTCGAACCCTCACTAACTAGCGCTCACAATCGATCATGGCCCCATTTTCCCCCAACCAATCCATCCCGACAATCACCTTCAGTCCTCGTAATGGTATCGGGACTAGATCCACACGAAACCTCTCCCCAAGCACATTCAGGACACAGTCCCGATACACCCTCGCAACACTCACAGTGCGGTCATCTGCAATCTCCACCTCGAGCGGGGAATCCGAAGTTCCCGACGCATCCTGAAACTTCTTGCTAAGCGCAAGAGACACGAATGATCGGGTAGCTCCCAAATCGAACAAAACGTGAGCCGACATACCATTAACCAAAAAGGTCCCTATACAAGCACAATGTACACATAAGCAGTGCAAATAAATATAGAGTTGAGAAGAATAAGTACATACCAGCCACGATGTCTGGCTCTGCCCGAGCCTCCTCGGTAGTCAACCGAAAGGTGCGGCTCTTTACCGCTGGATCATCCGCCTTAGCAGGGCGGCCATCTGTGATCCTTAGTGTGGCAGGTGCTTGTACCGCCACAGCTCCACCCCCTCCCTGCAACCTCAGACAATTGTCCCACTTGTGGCCGGTCTGGTTGCAGTGGAAACAAATCAAGCCCTTCTTGGGACAATCCCTGATCATGTGGCCCGATTGGCCACATGCATAGCATCCCAAGCCTGCCGCCCGACAAGCCCCACTGTGCGGTTTACCGCACTTGGCACACCATCCACGGCCCTGCTGGGAGGATCCGAGGTCTTAGGCTTTTTATCCTGACCCACTACCGTCTATGCCTGCTCAGGCTTCCGCTTAGTTCGAAAGTCCAACTCCATTTCCCGCTCACGGGCCTTCTCCACCATCTCGTTCAGGGTTTTGCACCCTATAAAGCTCACAAACTCCTGGATATCATCCCTCAGCATGGAATGATATCCCGTCCGCCTCATATCCTCATCTGTAGTGTACTGTGGGATCAACAAACCTCGTTCCCGAAACTTCACGGTGATCTCCGCCATAGTCTCGGTGGTCTGCTGAAGGTCATGAAACTCCCTCACAAGCCGTTACACCTCAATAGGTGGTGCAAACTCCGCATCGTATTGCCGAACAAACTCGGCCCATGTCATCTCAGCCACACCGGCTGCTCCCACCTGGTTGGTCACCTCTCCCTGACAATCTCGGACTCTGTCTCTCAACATACATGAAGCAAAACCCACCTTTTCCGCATCAGGGAAAGAACTCGTGCGCTGGGCGTTCTCAATATCCGCCACCCAGGATCGGCTAACAATGGGGTCCCTGACCCCAAAAAATTTCGGCGCCGCGCACGCCTTGAACTCCCGGAACGAGAGAGTTCGGGCCCCGACCTGGCCGGCAGCAATCTTGGCTCTGAATGACCTGAGCCTCTCCTCCATAATCTCCATCATACCTTCCTTTATTGTCCCAAAGATCACTGGGGTAGCGTCAAGGATGCCCTTCGTCACTTCGGCTGCAATGAGCTCGCGCAGCCTCTCATCAATGGGCTCAGTACACTGCCCGACCCGGATCCAGATCCCGATCCTGATCCTGATCCCCCTCCTCCAAATCATGTCACCACCAAGCTGAACTGAAATGTCATGAATCATAATAATCAAAATACATAATTGGAGGATTCTCTCACACCGGTCCTCCTTAGAGCTTACAGATCTAACATTGGTTTGGGTACAGTGCTTTCAGTAGTACGGGCCCAATACTACCTTCCACACCTACTTGTACCTTCCCCAAGGCTCTACCGGCTAACTCTAATTCGTTACAAAAATAAATCATATCCCACAGACTATCACATATCTCAAATCTCAGGCTATCCTAAGATTTGCTCTACTCACATCAATCAAACCAATCACAACAGGTTGCCTTTATGCATGCAAATTATACACAGAAAAATATCAAATAGACTTTCGAATAAGAGATTCTACCCTAGGACCACAATCAAACAAGGAACAGGAAAGAAGGCCAAATCAATCATTCTAAGGCTATATGCTCCTAACCGTATATAATTTTAAAATCATACACGTAGCAAGATCCATACGATTATCATAGCTCAAATATCAGTATAACATGGCTAATCATATTGGGGAACTACTTACTTGGTTCGGCCGATCACGCGCGTTGCACTCTCATCTTTTCCATCCTTTAAAAGTTTTAACTTTTATTTTATTTTTGAAAACAATTTTACCATTTCCTTAGTTTGAGTCCTGACATACCCGAGAGTGTGCCTGAATCCCTCAAATCAAGGCTTTGATACTAACTTGTAACGACCCAATTTTTCAAAAGAAATTTTTCATTTTTAATTAACCAAAATATGTTTCATCAATTATGTAATCCCAAATACAATTGTTTTCAAATTCATAACATCAACAATTTTTATTTTAAAACATCAGAGTGTCCCATGATAACGACTGAGAGAGAGTGCACGACGCGCCATCAAGCCTTGCCCTTGCCCTTGGGCTCAAATGTACCTAAAACAAATCTACAAACTGTAAGCTAATGCTTAGTGAGTTCCCCAGAGCATACCCCACACACAATCCACATAACACATATCATATTAGCTATAGAAGCTACATATATACCACATAAGCCATGCATACAACAAATAGGGATGCCTTGGGCTCGTCCCCAGGGTATTACTCCAAGATGACATGGGCTCCCCACATGGTCTTACACCTAAGTGCCATGGGCTCTCCCATGGTCTTTGATAGGAAAGCCATGGGCTCTCCACATGGTCTTACATCCAAGTGTCATGGGCTCTCCCATGGTCTTCCATACATACATACCATATATACCACTAGCATGCTTCCTAGCTCATACCAACTAACATGCCACATAATACAACTACAGCTAGGATACCACATATCATAAAATGGGTCGGCCTTGGTGCCTTAGACCCATTGGTATGGTGAAGAGACTCACCTCTCGAATGCTGAACTGACAAGCTAGAATCAGATATGTCCCACGTTCTGCTCCAACTCAACTACTTATAATCATTATGTGATTAACTTGTCATAATCCCATAATTACCCTCAAGGTCAACCCTGGTCAAAGTCAAGGTCAACAGTGAAGGTCAATAGTCAATGTTGACCTCAACTCGTCGAGTGCATTCAACAACTCGTCAAGTTCCTGTATGACTCGTTAACTCGCCGAGTTACCTTTGTAACTCGCCAAGTTCCTCCCGAGTCCATTCCACTGAATCTCACATTAACTCGTTGAGTCACCCTAGTGACTCGTCGAGTTCATCATATGTCCAGAAAACTAATGTCTAATCAGACCAAAACCCTAATCCTTCACTGCACTCATCCAGAAACCCATAAACGGGAAACCCTACCCCGACTCGTCGAGTCAGCTAAGGGACTCGACGAGTTCCTTCAGTCCTTTCCAAGTTCAGCCCTTTTAGTGGGATCTAAGGTCCCAAACTCTAGATCCAAACTCCCTTAATGCAGATACCACGTAAAGTTGCAAACTTTACGTACATGCAAGGCCCTTCAAGGCTACAACCTCAAAACTAAGCTTCTTGCAAGGTTTTTGTGCATAAAAAGGGGCTAGGCTGCATAAAGTGAGCAACTTTATGTTATTGGCGACCTAGAGAGGTCCAGATCTGGAACCATATCCTTATGATAAGTCCAGATCCGAGTTTGACTCCATTTTGCACCAAAAATGGTCATTTACTTCCAAGAAAAGGGATCTAATCAACTCGAGATCAAGGTGACGACTTTATACCTCAAGATGATGGCCAAAACAGAGTAGATGCCAGATCTACTGCTTCTCTCCTTGATCCTTCCTCTTCAAGCTCTATAATCCGTCACAAATACCCCAAAACCACTCACAAAAGCTCTTACTCTCACTCAAGAAGGTTCAAGGTCGATCTAGAGTTTTCTCTGGCTATTAGGGTGATAAGGGAGGTCACAAGAGGCGCATTAAGTTCTTTAAATATGGTGAAAACCCTAAAAATTAGGGTTTCTCTTTACAGCTCCTACTCGGCGAGTCGGGGCCTTCCGACTCGTCGAGTAGGACCCAAACTCCGCGTCCCCTAACAATCTCTACTCGACGAGTTGGAGTACCCCAACTCGCTGAGTCCATGCACAAAACCCTAAAATTATATAAATTAATAAATACCTGAACAGTTGTTACACACTGGGCCTATTATGTGAGTTAGGGCGAGGCCCGTTATACTCATTGGGTGGGGCCCGTTATGCAAGTTAGGGGGAGGCATGTAATACTCATTGGGCGAGGCCCGTTATGCGAGTTAGGGTAAGGCCCGTTATACTCATTGGGTGAGGCTCGTTAATTGTATAGTATGTGGTATTTTAGGGAACTCACTAATCTTTGTGCTTACGGTTTAAGTTTATGTTTCAGGTACTTCCGGTTCGAACGGGAAGGGCACGGCCTGATCGCAGCGCATCCACCCGTGTCTAGCATTTTTATGATTTTTGGATTATACTCTGAAAACTATTTTCACATTGACCTACTTTTGATGGTTTGATATGAATATTGAATGATTTTGTTTGACTTAAAAACGAAAATTTTAATTATGATTTTTGGGATGTTACAATTTATCAGGTGACCTTCAACCGAGAGAGTTATGGAGGCGCTGTGAAAAGTTGGGAATTGTTGTCAACGTTTCTTTTGCTCGAAAAAGATTAATTATGGGTAGAAGATTTGGTTTCGTTCGGTTTATCAAAGTCAAAAATACACAGGATATTGAAATGAGACTATGTGAAATATGGTTTGGAAATTATCACATATTTGCTACTCTATCACAATTTAAAAGACAAGAGGAGGTTCTATGTGAAAAAAGAATAGTTATCCAGCACAGAGGAAGAAGGAATCTGAATTAAGAGCAAACAAAGAACACAAGAAGAAAACATATGCAAAGGCTGCCATGGGGGAAGGGTCGAGTAAAAGTGCACCGACTCTTATTTTAAGACAAGTGTTGATTGGAGGCAGGGAACTTATGAGTATGGCTGATATTCATTCGACTCTTCTGGCTAAGGTAAGAGAAGATTCATTGATTCCTAATCTGTTAAATATATGTAGTAAGGAAGGATTCTCAAATATCTGAATTCGTTATGTTGGTGGTCTTTGGGTATGGGTTTCATTTGAATCGAGTGGATCCTGTAAAAAGTTTTCACAGAACTCTGGTATAAGTAATATCTTTTGTAACTTTTGGACTATTGCAAAAGACTTCGTCATCCCGTACACGGTTGTTTGGCTAGAGATTATTGTCTTACCTATGTGTGCATGGAATCCATGTGTTTTTAAAAAGGTTGCTTCTATTTGGGTATCGGTTTTATTCTCTGGTGATAATGAGAATAATTGCATGTCTTCTAGAAAAGTGTGTGTGAAAACAAGTGTTATGTCAAATATTCAGGAAGTAGTTAGTGTTCTAATTGAAGGGAAGGAATACCAGGTTCATGTTAAGGAGATTGCTCCTTGAGATCCTGATATCTCGGATGAGGGTAGTTTTTGTCCAATAGGATAATAAATCAATCGGATCGCTAGATGGAGTGGATGAAGATCGGTTTGGTAATGAATTTGACTTTAATGACCAAGAGAATGAGCAGCAAAGTAATGAAGGCGAAGACGTGTACAGTGATAAAGAACAATCTATAGCAGGGGTAAATGGTGAAATGTTTAATGATCAGGTACAACGAAAACAAGAGGAATTGCCACACAACGAAGGTGATAAGGAGAGTGATTGTGTCAAAAATAAAAATCAAGAAAACATGCATGCTGATCAGGAGAATGGAAATTCAAAAGAAAATGTAAATCCCAGGTCCAATGGTGAAGCCGAAAATATTTTGAAAGGAATGATTCAGATTTTTCAAGACCTCCTGGATTTGGAGGGCAGCGATTTCATGATTGGAATAATAAGGATAGTCGGGGTTCCTTCCAATACTCGGGTAATGAAAGCAAAAGAGCTTTGAGCATTGGGTCAGTAAAAATTGGGAGGAAAGCACCATCTTCTATGGGGGCTGCTTTGTGTGATGAAGTAACCAAATTTATTTAATTGGGTAAGATTTTAGGGTACGATGTGGAGAATGCAAAGGTTGACTTGAAGAAAAGATTGTTTGGTATGGGAGTGATTCAATCCTCATGATTTGTTTGTCTCTTAACATTTGTGGGATTAACTCCTTTAAAAAACATGGATGGGTGAAAGAAATTTGCAATAATAATTTAGTGAATTTTCTTGGGTTACAAGAAACTTGGATGATCTTTTCAAAATTAGATCTATGTGGGGTAATTCGAGATTTGATTTTTCTTGTTCTACTGTGAGGGGGAGGTCGGGGGCATTATATCTGTTTGGGATCCTAATGTTTTCAAGAAGGATCGGGTGTTATGTACAGAAAATGTTGTTGTTGTTGTTGAAGGAGTTTGGAGTAGGAGGAATTTAAAATGTACTTTGATTAATGTTTACGCGCCTCAGGAAGCTGGTAAAAAACGAGATCTTTGGATTTATTTACTTTCGGTGATGTTAAACACGTTGGGGTATTTCATTGTTTTTGGAGATTTTAATATTGTTAGGTCAGCCTCGGAGAGAATGGGAACGGTGTTTTGTGATTCTCAAGCTTCAGATTTTAATAACTTCATTTTCGAAGCAAATTTGGCTTATGTTCCTATGGGTGGGAGAAAATTTACCAGGGTGGATAGGGTTGCTGGAAAGCTTAGTCATTTAGATAGATTCCTTGTCTCGGAGGATCTTCTAAATGATGTTTCAGATATATGTTGTACGGCTCTTGATAGGAGATGGTCGGATCACTGCCCGCTGCTGTTGAGAGAAGATTCTATTGATTATGGGCCTACTTCTTTCAAATTATTTAATTCTTGGTTGGATATGGATGGTTTCTCGGAAGTTATACATGCAGCAGTTAGTGAGTTCGTCCCAGATCTTCGGATTACGAAGAGTTTAAATATGAAGAACAAACTCAAGTTTGTGAAAATTAAAATTAAAGTGTGGCAAGCTAATATGCGTGTTCTAAAATGTGATCAGAGAAAAGAGTCCATCAATCGTCTCATTAAGATTGATAATTTGGTTGACGAAGGGGATGCAATGGTTGATATCATGACCAAGAGATAGAACACTCTTCAAAAAGTGATGGAAATAGGCAATGCTAATATCTTAGATTGTGCTCAAAAATCTAAGATTAAAAGGGTTATAGAAGGGGATGAAAATTTAAAAATTTTCCATGGAATGCTGAACAGAAGAAGGAAACAATTGGCCATAAAAGGAATTATGGAGGATGGTGTATGGGTTTCTAATCCGACGTTAGTAAAGAAAGTGTTCTATGATTTTTATCATAAAAAATATCAGCCTTATCATGGTGTGCATCTTGATTTCTCTAACTCTCGTTTTAATGTTTTGAATGATGATCAGGTTTGCGAGCTTCAAGCTATTTTTTCTGAAGAAGAGATATGTGATGTTGTTTAGTCATGTGGAAGTGATAGAGCCCCCGGTCTCGATGGCTTCACTTTTCGGTTTTTAAAAAGATTATGGGATTTGTTCAAGAAAGATTTTTGTAAGTTTATGCAGGAGTTCTTCGAGTCGGGTTTTATATCGCCTGGTTGTAATTCTTCATTTATCACTTTGATCCCAAAAGTTGATAATCCAACGAAAATTAAGGACTATAGACCGATTAGTTTAATTTTACAATATAAAATCATTGCTAAATTGCTCACATAGGTTGGTAAAGGTAGTTAGTTCTATTATTCATCCTGTTCAATCTGCTTTTATTAAAGGTGGACAGATTCTAGATGGTTCCCTCATGATTAATGAGATTGGTTGATGGGCGAATTTGAAAAAAAAAAGATGTTATATAAGGTGGACTTCGAAAAAGCATATGATTTTGTTTCGTGGGATTACTTGGATCGTATTATGGAGGTGATGGGTTTCGGGATGAGGTGGCGCACTTGGATTCGTGGTCGCCTTAGGTCAGCTAGGTCGTTAGTTTTATTGAATGGGAATCCTATAGATGAGTTTCAGCTTCATAGAGGTTTGAGACAAGGTGATCATTTATCTCCATTTCTTTTTATTTTGGTGATGGAAGGCTTTCATGTGCTCATGGAAGATGTTACCCAAAGCAATATGTTCAAAGGTGTGGCTATTGGTGAGCATCAGGTAAATCTCTCCCATTTATTTTATGTTGATGATGCGATTTTTCTTGGAAAATGGGGTGTGGAGAATATCCAGGTGCTTATTAGAATTTTGAGATTCTTTTATATGACGACTGGGCTGCAGATTAATCTAAAAAAGTCCAAGTTATATGGTTCTTTTGATGTGATTCAACAGGTAGCTACTTGTACTAGGTGTGGGGCGGATTCTTTCCCGTTTATGTATCTTGGTTTACCAGTTGGTCAAAAAATGCATAGAATTTCGGCTTGGGAGGTAATTATACAGAGGTTTCGAAAGAAACTCTCAGTCTGGAAATCCATAATGCTTTCTATTGGTGGTCGCCTAACTCTGATCAAATTTGTGCTTGGAAGTTTAGGTATTTAGTATCTATCTCTATTCTAAATGCCTCTTTCAATAGGTAGAGATTTAGAGAGGATGAGATCCATGTTTTTTGGGGGGCAGGTGAGTAGGGTCGGATCATTTAATGGGTTAAATGGGAGGTGATGCTTAAGGACAAAGATAATGGTGGTTTAGCTATTGGGAGTTTAGAAGCGTTTAATCATGCTTTGTTGTACAAGTGGAAGTGGCGTTTTTGAATGACAATAATTTGCTTTGGGTGAAGGTGATCAAAAGCTCTTACAGTAATGATGGTGGTTTTTCTATAGCTAAACCAAAGAATGCGAAATCAGGAGTTTGGATGGGTATTATTAAGTTGGTGTGGGGTTTACATAATAATGGTCTTATTTCTTTTGATACCATGTCTAAAAAGGTGGGAAATGCTGCTAACACAAGTTTTTAGTCTGATGTGTGGTGTGGCGACGTTATGTTTAGAGCTCGGTTCCATCGCTTATTTGCTATTTCTCGTAATAGAGATGCGGTTGTCAGTGAGTTTTGGAATGGTTCGAATTGGTCTTTTCAGTGGAGCCGTAATATAAATGGTGGTGTGTTGGCTACTCGGTTGATCAATTATTGAGTGTTCTTGATTCGATTCAGTTGACAAATAATCTTGATTCTTGGAGGTCTAGGTGTTGATAATATGTTCGTGGTCAGAGATGCTAAGTTATGGTTGGATAAGTTGAAGCTTCCTTCAACTGACGTTGCTACCAGATGGAACAGATTCCTCCCAATTAAAATTAATATTTTTATTTGGCGTTTGCTTCTTAATTGGTTGCCTACGAGATGTAACTTGAATCGACGGGGTATTGAGCCGGAGACTTTGTTGTGCCCGTGTTGTGAACAGAAATTAGAAGACGGAAATCACCTCTTTCTCGAGTGCACCTTGGCCCGCCAACTTTGGCTAAAAGTGGCGGTTTGGGTTGATAAACCGATTCCTACATTTTTTTCGATTTTGGAGTTAATGCAATGGATCGATGGTCTTCATTCAGATCGGTTTCATAGGGTGATTATGGAATCGGTTTGTGTTACTTTGATTTGGGTGTTGTGGGCGTATTGGAATGCGTTAGTCCTTGGTTTCGTGAAGTGGAAAGAGTACATGTTTGATTTTGTTGTTTCTTTTTCTTTTAATTGGTTTTGTAATATGAATCGTTAGGCTAGATAGAATTGGAATGAGTGGATGAAAAACCCCCTCATGAAGTTGCTAGTTTCTTTTGCTAGCTTTTTTATACATTTAGCTGTTCAAAAAAAAAAGTAGGTATTTTGAAAATTTTAGCTTATTATAGCATTTTACTTTCAAGTTTTTTTATGAGTTATAATTGCTATTTTTTATAGATTTGACATCAAAACGGTACTAATAGAGTTAAAAGGGCAGCAACAAATATGTTGAGCGTCTTAGAATAATAAAAAAAAAAAGTATTGTTTTACTGGGTATTGTTGCTATATCATTGATAGCTAAAAGATTCATTAGTTGGAAAAATATTCATGCATGATGTTTTTCTATCATATTTGTCACACATTTGTTTTATATTGTACTTTGCATGGATCCACTTTTGAACACCAATGGGGGGTATACTATATAGTAGCTATAGCTGATAAGTTTATATTGCTAGTTCTTGCATGTAAGCCTCTAAAAACATTACAAATACATTTAAAACAGGTTTAAAAGGCTAAATGCAAAAAATAACAGTGCATTTCAGGTCACTCTACATTTTTTTAAAAATTTTCGTCATTAGTAGATTGTATCTTGAAAGTAGAATTCCAAAACTGGTTTTGATTCTGTTTTTGCTGACATGCTCTGCTTTGAATTTCTGTGTTGCATAAATTCACTTTCTTCTAAACATATCCAACATGTATGAACAAGTAGAAAACATTGGTGGAGGAAAACCATGACTTGTGCCACCAGCAATGCCGTAAACCCTCTAGTTAAAATTATTTATCAAATATAAGATGAGAATTTCTTGGATTTTGTGTATGCTATTTTCATTTTCATTTTTTGTAAAAACATTTGGAACAATTTTCTAATATTTATAATGTCAAAGTCGGGTTTGCACAGAAACTTATAACCTGAGAAAGTAATGGTACATGAAAGAAAATAAAAGGTATAATGGTATTGGCGTGAGAAGAAATAAGATTGAAATTGTAAAGTTAAATTCTTCTTCTACAAAAAAACAAAATTGTCTAAAGAGAGAGGAGAGGAGAGGAGAGGAGAGGAGGCATCTAAAGACAAGAAGAGTTAAAAGCCAAAGAGACCAAGTTCACTTGCTTTCTCCTTCTCAAAAGTCTCAAAGTATTGGTAGATGATTGTGACGGCAAGCAAAATCCCAGTGCCTGAACCAATGGCTCCCATGAAATCTGCCAAAACAGTCAACGCCCCGATGCACATTCCTCCGAATGCAGCTGCTGTTGGAATGTACCTGTTCAGCTCCTTCTGTAGGTTCGAGTCCCGATGCCCAGGCATCACCATTTGTTGCTCCTATTATCACAACAGTCAGATTATTTTTAATTTTAAAACATATTATTATATGTATGCATGCAACCTACTTTCATTTACAGCATATTATACTTTAGTTTCTTTTTTCTTATACATAATTTTAAAATCCTAAGACATTGCTTTTTTTTCTTATGTGAACCACCAACCATTTGTTGCTGTTGTAGGGTTACAAACAACAACCTACTTTTACTCACTTAACATCTTACTTACTTTCATTTCTTTCTATCACAGCTTTATACTTTTTTTATACTTATTAGTATACTTTGAAAACTTTATCTAGTCAAACTCAAATCTTATTCTTATCAGGATAGTTCCTACCCAAAATTGCTTTATTTGAACCACTCCTGTAGGGTGGGTGGATCAGGGGATTCCAAACAATCTAAATAGCAACAGACTTGTTTATTACATACAGAGCATCTATCTTCCTATCACAAGGTTTTTTCTGTACTTTGAAAAATCCAACCCATCCAATACTTTCAATCTTTTTTGCACTCTTGAAAAATATCGCTATAATTTTCTAGATTTTTCAAAGTACAACATTGTAATAGGAAAAACTCAAAGTAGAATGCTCTGCTCTGCGCATTTAAAACACACCCAACCCATATTTACTCAAATCCAGGCCACAATTACCAATGACTGTTTTGAATTTAGCATAAGTAGCATACCTTCAGTTGCTTGGCCACATCTCTAGCAGATGATCCGGAAACTTCAATCCAAGTTTTTGAGAATAGTGCACAAGCTGTCAGCATGAACACCAAGTAGAAAAGAGCATGGAATGGGTTTGCTGCCATATCTGCCAAACTGATCCATCAACACAACACAACACAACACAATACACATTAATTAAACCACTCAAAACTAACAAAATAATATATCAGTAAATTATACAAAATTGCAGCTTCAGTCCAAATCTTGAAATTGTCCCATTGCTAGTATTTCGTTTTCAAAAATTGCAAGTTTAGTCCAAATTTTCAAGTCATTTAATATTCGGACAATCCAAAAATTTAGTCCTAATAATATATAAATAATATCACGTTTACCTTGAAGGTGCAGTGACATAGTAAGCAATGCCGCCAACAGGGACAGACTGGCCAGAGTATTCAGACTCCTTCCACTTTCCCAATAGATCAACCAAGAAATTTCCACTGTATTTTCTGTGTAGCAACTGCCAATCAAGCAAATAATATATATATATATATATATATATATATATATATATATATATATATATAAGCAACACAAATAAAGAGTGATTCAAATATAAATATAAATATAGGTATATACCTGAGAGATGAAATAAAGGTTGGAAACAAGTGCGGATTGAAGAATGATTGGCATGTTGGAAGTGTAGAAGAGCTTGATGGGATAAGAGCCTTGTTGGCCACGGGCATTCTTGGATCTCACAGGCAAGACTACCCGGAAACCTTGGAAGTAGATGACAATCAGGAAGATTAAAACAGTAGCCAGTAGATTTGTCACATTTGGAAGATTTTGCCTGTAGAAAGCTTCCCGGAGTGCCCGAACTTTATCTGACCGGGTAATCAGAAGATGGAATAATGCAATAACTGCACCCTCAAATTCAGCACCACGTCCACTGTTTATGGTTGTTGGGCTAAATGCTTTCCAGATGATGCTTTCACTGCATATCATGTTATCAAATATCCATCCATCTTTTAACTAACTACAATTTACAATTTAATTAAGCTTACCAGATATTAGTGGCTATGAACAATGAAATTCCAGATCCAAGGCCATATCCCTTCTGGAGAAGTTCATCTAAACATATCACAATGATCCCAGCAAAACATAGCTGAACAATGATCAGAATAGCATTCCCAACACCAAGCTGACCAACACTGCCATACATTCCTGATAGAACATAAGCCACAGCCTCACCAACCGCAATCAAGATTCCCAGCAACTTCTGAGCACCATTCCTACAAATATCACAACTTCCAATTAAATATATACTATATATCATGAGATATGAAATAATAATTTTAACTATTATCAAACTCACAATAGTGCACGATCCTCACGAACATTGTTGTCCACTTCAATAATCTTTGACCCAGCCAATAGCTGCATAACAAGTCCAGAAGTCACAATGGGAGTGATACCCAACTCCATCACAGTCCCACGGTTGGAAGCCAGAATAACACGCATCCAGTAAAAAGGGTCTGCACCAGTTGTCGAATGGATGCCATACAGAGGAAGCTGACTGCACACCAGGAAGATGAAAAGAGAGATCACAGTGTATATCACCTTCTCTCTGAAGGGAACTTTCCTATCTGCGCTTTGGACTTCTGGCAAAAATGCAAGAAATGGTCTAACCAGATGTAACACTCTAAAACCGCCTCCCATGGCGCCACCCAACCTGCTGTTAAGTCATTTATGTAAAACCAACCATTAGATTACATTGTATAAGCAGGCCAAGTGAGAAAATATTCATTTTATCAACTGTGAGTGCGTGCCAAACATGTGAAACAACACAAACAATCAAACATACATGACTATTGGAGACAATTTTAACAAAACAAAACAAGATCAGCAATTCCAGCACGTATCCAAGGTATTGATAAAAAAAATTCTTCAGTTGAGACAATGTTCTGTTCTAATAGATTAAAACACACAATGTATACAAGTAAAACGATAACTCATTGCACTACATGCTGGACTTTATCAGGCATCAGCATTGCACAACTTTGTTTAACATCTAAATTTCCCTAAAATAATAAATCATTTTGGTTTCAATTACTCCATATCACCATAACATAGCAAATAAAAAAAAAATTCAATTCATTGACTTTCAAGTAATGCAACCTCTTAATCTTCTCATTCTATTAGAAATTAAATCATTGAGAAATGAGATACAATGAAGGACATAACTAGAGACGGAAATCAGTTTGAGCGTCGTTGACCAACCGATCTAAATCTTACACACACATCAACAGATCCACAACCAGTCTAAACATAAAACTCAAGCATCGGCATGAAAACACAACAATACCGCCACCAGTTAAAAAATCAGTACAGATCGAGTCATATAGCAGCTGATTTGAAACTTTCTACATCGACTTTTTCGAGAAAAACAATCCAATTTTGGATGAAAATAGACATAACCAGATTAATAAGATAGATCAAGTACTTACAGCGTATGATTTGATAGAGATTTGATCTAATGGGTGGAGAGTTAGTGTCCTAGGGTTTTATATCGGAGAAATGGGGATGGAGATTGTTAACATGAACGGAGAGATAACGCGTAAACGTCCCCGGTTAGAAAAGATCTTCTGTACAACGGAACATATAAAAGGAAATTTTATAGAAAGCACCCTTTATCTTCAGCCCATATTTCGAAATAGTCCCTATAACTCTTAAATAGTAACAATGAACCTCGATTATGTTTTTGACTCATCTTGGTGTGTGTATCTAAACATAGACTCTAAATCCAAAAAAAAAAAAATAAATAAATAAAAAAACGAAATAAAATAAATTTAAAGCATGAATAATAATTAACAGAAGTTCTTTTCCTAAATGCAATTATAGGTAGACCCAAAACAATTCAAAGTGATAAAGGTAGAATAAAGTTGTAAATATATTAATTAATTGAAAAAATTCTTCTAAAATTTATAGGTACTAATACGTCCTATAGTTTGTTAATAGATTTACATACATATTTACATACTTCAAATTAATCCTAAAAAGTTACACATACTCGATTTAGATCTCTCATTGGATGTCACTTTTGTATGGAATATGCATGTTTTATTTATTATTGTCTAGGGGTAATTATGTGTACATATTCCATCGTTTTTATAGAAGATGGTTAATTTATTTGACATACGCTAATATATCGGTAATCAATTAGAATATACATAGAGTTTTTTTTGGAAATAGAAGAATACACATATAGTTATATGTGCATTGGTTGATAATGACAATCAAGATTGTTTTGCTTAAAAACTAGGTTTGTATCAAAGTGTTTGAAAATGAGTCTCTTCCTTAATAAGTTGAGAATTCAAGTCTCGTCATGAAAAAAAAAACCATTGTAGTAGTAGGATTTAAAAACACATGTATATTAGTCATTCAGATAATAATAATAATAATAAATATACCACATAGGCTCATATATAGTTAATTGTTTTGGTGATAAGAAAGTGAAAATCTACAAATAATACCTAAAAATTAAACTTAAATATAATATATGTTTGTTCTATAAATATTATGATTTGTCTTTGATATTAATAATGAGACGGGTCTATGGGGCTCTGATTAAATTCCATCTTTTTTTAACCATATGTGATTGAGAGTGCATACTTTTGAAGCATAAAATAAATAGGTGTTGTCTATTTATTAGTATGAACACTCATGTACGACGTGGAGAAAACACATATGACTACTTGATACAATAGATTTTGGATTAACTTTGACAAGGTTGTAAAGTTTGTGTTATAATGAAAATTCGTGTTACCAGCTGGGGCAGTCCTGGATTTTGACTTAACAGAAAGGGGCTTTTTGTAAATTCTGAAACCAAACAATTCATAGATTGACAATTTGACACGGATTAACACGAGTGTCTAGCCAATAATCACTTGCCATGTAGGATAGCATTCCACGTAAGATCTTTGTAGAGTCCGCTTGAAGAGTAATCTGAATCTTACTTTTTGTTACTTTTTGGAAGTCATTAAAAATATTAATTATCACAAAATGGATAAAATGGATATTATATTTTTGTTTTTGTATATATATATATATATATATATATATATATATATATATATATATATATATATATATATATATTGGTTCCTTTGACATTAAAAAAAATAAAGAATTAGGGATGGCAAAAAAACCCGAAACCGACGGGGAAACCCGAAACCCGATTATTTTGGGTCGGGTAATGGATCGTTATCGGGTTTTTTTATCGGATTCGGGGCAGGGAGTGGGTTATCCTCGCCCCGCTTCAATTATATATATATATATATATATATATATATATATATATATATATATATATATATATGTTCGAATCATTTTGATGTTAATTGCACGCATTCAAAGATAAAATATTTACTGTGGACAATCTTTTTAGTTATTAACAATTTGTTGTGAATGATCATTTTTTATGTTTTGACATATTACACTAAACTTAAATCAAATAATTTTTAATATAACGTCCATAACTATTTTGGTATGTACTTATCCAAGTGGGAGACTGTTGGATTAGGTGTCTAAGCCCATAACTATTTTGGTATGTACTTGACCCGATTATGAGCATGGTCCTTTTGGGTTGCCTTCATCATAGCAACTGATAGGATGAATTAAGGAGAAAGATGATTAATTATGATTTATTAATATATTATGTGAATAATATATTAAAAGAGAAATCATATTGTTTAATTAATATTGATCAAGAATTAATTTAGAATTAATTTTGTGGTCAAAAGAGATTAATTAAATAAAGGGGACTGATACTGTAATTATAAGATAGTTACAAAGTTTGGCTTAAGATCCATAAGGATGCAATGGACGAATTCTATATGAGAGTCCATATAGAAATCGTCCAAGGGCCTTCTGGAAGGATCCATTGGGCTGCTTAAGGACTAAGCAATTGGGTTAGGGTTTGCAAGTTGATAACCCTAGAAGCCTAACTATAAAAGGAACCCTCTAGGCCACCAAATCTGTCCCTAACCTTCTAAGAGAGCCCTTGGACGAATTTTGTGCCTCCTCCTCCCTCTCCTAAGTCATCTTGTTGCTAATAGTGTTTGTGACTCCATTAGAGGTGCAACATTTGAGGCACTAAGCTTTCAAAGGTCAAGGAGTTCTTGTTATTGCTACATAACAAACAAGGTAATATTCCTAACCCTATTCATATGTTAATTTAGATTATAGTATGCTAGATCTAGGGTTTATTGATTTGGTATTCAATGTTGTATGTTCAAATTAAAAAACCTAGATCAAAGCAATTAGGGTTGCATGAACACCATAGGAATGATGTTATGCTCATAACCCATCAGTGGTATCAGAGCCAGGTTGTTTTTCTAGTGAATAGATGCAAAAGTGAACCACCAAAGTTCAAGAAAATCGAATTTTTTGCCTTCTGACTGACTGACTCGCCGAGTCCATGTATGGACTCGACGAGTAGGTCCTACTCGACGAGTTCCATAATGGACTCGACGAGTCCAAGGGTCTGGTGCCGGGAATTTCGATTTTCTTACCAGATTTTGTTGAGGATTACTTCCAAAACTCGTTTTTCTTGCCTAAAATCGATTTTTTATGTTTGGAATGGTTATCCTTATCAAAATTGATGGATTTGGTTAAATATGGATAATATAGGATTATTATAAGTCAAATATTTGACCTAGTAATTTAGAAAAGTTTCAAATTACACCCACTAGGTTTTATAGTGTAAATTTGAACTTAAAAGTTTTAGTTTTTGAAATTTAAATAGTTAAACCCTAATATTTTGAAAGGTTTCAAAATTTGTCCTCGAGTTTTGGAATTTAAAATTTAATTAAAAAGTATTAATTTTGAAATATTAAATTCTAAAACCCTAGTATTTTTGAAAAGTTCAAATTGGACCCCTATGATTTTATTAATTTAATTAAGAGTTTAATTAAAAGAGATAGTCAATAAATCCATAATTATATGGTTTAAGATTAATCAAATTAAAAGTTTAATTTATTAAGTTAAACCACCTAGTATTGTAAAAGTGTAAAAAACACCCTTATACTATATAAAACTAAAAGTCTAATATTATATATGTATAAGTAAAGAGTCGGTCTTACCGTTAGTATGTCTCATTCACGAAGCTGGTCTATAAGGGGTGTTTAAGGAAGCGGCATGTAAAATGACCGTCATTGGGTATCGACTCTTACTCACCGCACTCTTGACTAGTGGAAGGTCGTTAGCCGAACGGGTAGGATAGGACACAACCTTCCATTATAAGTATAATGAAATACAAGGTAACTAAACGCCTTTTATAAATTCCCAAATCTTAGTTACTTTAGGAAAAATGTGGAGTTGGTGCTAATCCATGAAATTGCACATTGCACCTTGTTGGTCGTTAGTGGAGCGTGTGTGGTTAACTGGCACACTAATATGGGACCAATGAAGGATGGCAATGGGTAGCTCGTAGATTATCATAGATCAATGGAGCGTGTGTAGTTAACCGGCACATTGATTAGGTGATGGACATCTTCGAGAGTACCAAGCTAATTTGCATGGTTATCCACACCTTGTTTGTGATCATCGGCATCCCAGTCACAAACTTGAAGGTCATAATCGAGATTAAACATGCCATTGAAAAGTTCATTGAATCTCAAAAGATCTAGGAGTTTCAACTCATTTAAAACCTAATTTTCATTTTCGTTTTTCATGGTGGAAATTGGTAAATCGTCATTTACCTACCTTCAAATGTTCTGCAACTGGATTACGGCATCCCTCTTCCGAGTTGTAGAATATTGTGTTGGGTCCTAGCCTTAATATCTCATTTGGGTGTTTTATTAAGGACTCAATCGACTAACTTGAATTTTCTCCCGTTTTGTAGATGTCAAAATCTAACAACTATGATCTTCCCAAATCCTTTGGAAAAAGTTTTCCACATGAAAATGATGTTCCACGATTGGATTGTGGAAAGGGAAATCATGCTTCACTTCCTTCACCTCCTCCTATTATTCTCCCTGACCCACGTGTTCGAAGACTTGAAAAGTTCAAGGTCACCCAAGCCCTATTGGCAAGCAAACACGAAAATGGAAAGTCTGTATGTGCTCATGTTGTAACACCCAGAATCAGAAAGATCAAGAAAAGAAAGGAAAAGCTCTAAGTCAAGGAGTCAACTCGTCGAGTCCAGGAAAGAACTCGACGAGTTGGAGCGGGATCCGGGTCATAGAGTAAGTGACCGACTCGGCGAGTCGGCAAGTGGACTCGGCGAGTCTGGTCTGGGCGAGAAAAACCCTAATCTTAGGGTTTGTACCCTATATAAAGAACATCATATCCCCCCCCCCCCCCTCAGCCTCTTTACCAACCTTTTGAGATCCATAAACCCTAAATCGTGAGTGAGAGTCCTTGGGAGCAATTTGGAGCTTAGATAAGTGGTTTTTGTGAAGAGATCTTGAAGATCAAGAAGCTTGGATCAAGGGGATTTACAGAGATTTGGATTATTCTTCAGTGGGAGGTGATCTTGGATGTAATAAGGTGTTACCTTCACCCTTTTTGCATCTAGATCTATTCTTGAATGAGATTTTGGGGCTATTTTGGTAAGATTGAGATCTATTTCGGGTTTGGGGCTTAGATCCGAGGTTGCTACTTCAGATCTAGGGTTGTGATGGTCCAGAATGTCTTAAAGCAGCAGTCAATGAATTGTTGGTGAAGCCCCTTTGTCTTAAACCCTAGCCCTAGAGTGTTTTGGGCCTTTAGCTCCTTGGTTTCACGTAAAGTTTGCAACTTTACGTGGGGGTTAGACTTTAGAAGAGTGGATCTATGGGTTAGAGCCCCTGCATGGCTCGAATAAGGACTGAAGAGACTCGGCGAGTCACATGGGTGGACTCGGCGAGTTGTATGATGATGGGCAGGGACTCGACGAGTTGGAAGAACAACTCGGCGAGTCTGTTGAAGATTGTCGTGGACTCGACGAGTCTGTTCTTGGACTCGACGAGTCAGGTCGCAGACCCCCAGCCTCTTCTGGTTAAGGCACATATTAGTGAGTTGAGTGGTGACTCAGTGAGTTGGACA